TATCCTACATAACAGTTATCGGTTTTGTGACTAAACTCTAACAGACAATTTACACATTTGTGAAAGTGGAACTAGTCAGTTTTCTGTTCCTGCCAGTCTGACCTGAGGGGGTGACGTGACCACTCACCGAGCTGCATCAACGCATATATGAGGCCCAGCAGGGAAACCATAAAGTAGAGCACGAACACGGTCTTCAGCTTCAACTTCATCCTTGTCGCCATGATGGCCAGCTGCAGGTGTGGGAGCAGGTGGAAGGAAAAAGAATATTTATATATTATATTTACACAAGTCAAGTTTTACATGTTTAACATTTACCAGTTTTATTGTTGTCAAAACCGTATTACAAAAAGTAGAAAGTAAAATACATTTGCAACAAAATGCTCTAAAGGAAACATACATGTGACAAAGCAGTGCAGAAAAAATGGTAAGTATTACCTTGGCTTCTGTGTACTTACTGTATACACAGATTCTTCTGACTGCATAAGGTAAACTAGTAATAGAGTCCACATGAAATGTTTTACTATAGATGTTGTATTACTCATTGTGCTAATGCAACAAGGAAACTGTGGAAACAACAATAATATAATGACAACCTGTACAAACTGATTCTACATGGATCTTTATCAGATCATTATTTTAGTCCAGGTGCAGTTGAATCTGTGGTTTCATGATGCTTGAATGTTATAACAAAAAATAAATCGTTGTGGAATCTTATTTATTAAGATCCATAGCCAAAGTCTTGTCAATGGATTTATAATGACATAACATTTTCTATTAGGCCTGAAATACCGACAAAATGTGACTTTTGATGCTGCATCACCCACGAGGCAGGGAAATGTACAAATGCACTAAACCGGTTTTTAAATATGGATGTATGCTAGGCAAATATAGCATGACATTTCCATTACTAAAGCTGACATTTTTTTCAATAACTCACCCAGATAAGAACTAACAGAAGACGACAGCGACAGATCTAGTCCATGTAATTAAAGCTTCATGCCATGGTGGATGGACACGAGCAAATGCACCGTGGTGTAAAACAACGTCCATTCATTTGTTTTCTCAGGGATATTTTTCTTAAACAGATTTACCAACATCTTCCGGCTTCGGTGCAACGCGGAAAAAATGTCCGCCTAGCAACAAGCTTAAGACCGAACGTTCCATATGTCTGATAAGCTGCAAAACGCACCGAAACAGAAACGTGGAAGTATCGGCGTGGAATTACATTTTTACTATTAGTAAAAGTTACTATTTTATTGTATTTATATATTTGCCAAAAGCTCCACTGGTGTGGATAAATCTCAAGACACCGCGGTTTGTAGGTTTTTGTTTTGTTTGTTTGTTTGTTTGTTTGTTTTACATTTTTTATGTGAGATTTAAAAAAATTGTATCAGTATAAAAGTATATTTTTTGGCCTTTAAAAAAAATCTATTTAGGTTTTAAATTTTTCAGGGCAAAATGTTGGGACAACTCTTTACTACTGTTTTGGTGCAGCTCAAGTACAAGAATATGTCACTAAGTGCCTTAAAATATAATGCAGATGTTGTAGAAAATCCGATCGTAATTAATCTGAAATATAATGCAGATGTTGTAGAAAATCTGATCGTAAGTAATCTGACAAATCTAATAATCAGACATTAGTTAATTATAATTGTTTATTTATTCCATGAGATGATCCTGTTAACAGAGAAAATAAGAGGGAGGCATCAGACTTACGCACACCACTTGTTTATTTATGCCTAACATGATGCTCTATTCATTTAATTATATTTTAAAAGCCCTACAATAAATCTTTATATATATATAAATTATGTTTTTAAATGTATCATATGGAAATGTTGCTCTATTCATTCCCATATATATAAATGTATTGTAGGACTTTGTAAATATCATATGGAAATGAATAGAGCAATAGGCATAAATAAGCAAGTGGTGTGCGTAAATCTGATGCTTCCCTCTTTTCTCTGTTAATATATATATATATATTCCATTAGATAAACTATACAGACTACAATCGATACTAAAATGCATGTTTTCATTATAAAATAATTATAAAATACTTTATACATGGCTCAAACCTTTTGAAATGATAAATTTGACTATCCCAGTGCTTCCAAAACAGGTTTAAGGTTTTTTGATTTATGATGGGGAAAAAGAAAATTCAGACACATCTCAAAAAGTCAAACAACTTTCCTTTATTTGTAACATACAAATAAAACACTGACAAGGCAGAATGACTTAAGTTTTCCCTTTCACGATTGTTTATGGAACAAGACTTGACACTCACTCTCAAAACATGTTTAAAAAAGTTTTTTTTTTCAGTAAAAGTCCAAGAAATGAAAATGGTTATGGAACTACAACAGCTTATATATATATATATTTATATATACAAAGAGAGAAGACCAAGAGAAGGGTCTCTGTTTTCTGAAGGTTTGTAACTATTTTCCAAAATAAAAGTCCTCACTGACTTCAAAATAAGTTTGCCAAGTTCAGGCTCCAGGTCAACTGAACCTTTTTATTTTTAAACACAGCCCATCTACAGTATGGGCTGAACACTCAGCACTGATTCACATGAAGCTCAAACTCAAGAAATTTCACATCCCCAGGGCATACAACTGTTAATTTTACTGAAGCAGAACATAAAAAAACCAAAACCAGGCCCCAGAGTGTAATGTCATCACCACCTTTTGTTCTCAAAGAACCACCAAGATTTTCTGATTGAAACTGACCTGAGGTCAGAGCTGCGGTAAAACTCCAAAGTGACACCATGGCTCTTCAGTAAAATTGATGAGGCTTGAATGCGTTTGATTAACCTGAGAGAGAAACTGTCAGCCGGTTGAAAAACTAACACTATGTACATCCTGCCACTTTACTGTAATCTACATATGAAGGACTGAACTCTACAACAAACAGAAAAGGTTAAATCTTACTTGTTCATGGTCAGAATTTTAACAGGCATGAAACATTATCTTGTCTAATGACCTTTTTTAAAGAAACATTTCATAAAGACTGACTGAAAACAAGCAGAAACCTTCTTCACAGAGAAAGCACAGAACAGAGCTTTAATTTTCAGATGAAAGTCTGAAATTGTCTAATGCAATTTTTTCGTCTCTTTTCTTGTCACACAGCTTGAGCCTCAACAACACCTCGAAGCGTACCTTGGTAAGGCCTTTTAAAAAAAAAATCTTTAAAAAAAAAAAAAAATAAAATAAAGAAAACTCTCTTCCACTTTAAAAAAAAGAATAAAGAAAACTCTCTTCCACTCCTTAGGCCGAGACACAAATCAATGCCAACTGACCTCTGACCTGGATTTAAAGGGTGTTATCTTGTTTTAAAACAGAGCCTAAAAAGCAGCTGACTAGAGCGCTAAATTGTCCAAAAATACCCTGAAGGTTTTGTAAACACCTATCGAGTCAACAAGGTTGAAACTGATACCGCAGCCATTACAGGCTGACGACTCCGGTCGTATGTAAAATCCTCAGTGGAACTTCTGCATGACACAAAACTTGCAGTGCTGACTTTTTGTTAAGATTCCTCAAAGAAATGCAGGACTGGCCATTTCCTCTTACATTCATGCAAACTTTCCCCCGTTACTTTCAACATGCACAAATGTTCAAAAAGACTTGCACGAAATGCTAAAGTAAAACCTACAGAACCACGAGGACTTTAGATACATGTTCCATCAGTGCAGCTACAGTTCAGAAGCAGCAACACTGCCGTCTGTCACTAAGGTAACTAGAACTTTTGTTTTCTTTTTACTTCTTCAATCTCATCATGCAGCATAAGAGTGGACCAGTAAAATGGCATGGCTGAGGTAAAGAGAGAAGTATCCAAAAACGAAACCATCTTCAGTGTTTTGCCATTGCTTCAACCATTCATTCATTTAATTTAACCACAAAATGATGCCATTTACACATGCTAACCAAGTTCGGTATATAAAAGTGATTTTAGTTGATTTTTACGCAGCCAAAAGTAGCAATTCAGTTATTTGTTTATCTTTAGTACCTCAACAGACAAAAAAGAGACGCAACTGTACAAAGCAGGCGATGTAAATGGGCAGGCAAACTCAAATACTGCCTGAAGGGCATTGAGGAACAAACCAAAGGCTCAGTAAAGCATGAGAACCACGCCATCAGAAACTAAATCTCCCAACTGTGCACATTTGGCCGCAAACATCAAGACCAAAACAAAAAGGCAAAACTGGGCAAAACAAGTAAAGTTTTCATCCCGTGGTATATAACCTTGATAACTTTGAAAATTATGAGAAATGTGAAAAACTTTTTTAGGTGTAGATGGTAGGGTTCTGATGGTTAGTGTTGGTAAACCACAGGCATGGAGTTTAACTGAAAAAGATCATGATTCGAATGCTTTCATACATTATCGTGCACACATAATCCTGGAACTCAGATGAAACATTTATCTACACAAGACCAAATCATAAATTTAGATGGAAGGTAGTTATAATCTAATAAACCCTCGTGACAGACAAATTGTAGCCCACACAACCTTGCTGTAGCGCTGAACCACCATCAACTTCACAACAATATGCACTTTCTTGCACTATCTTAACACGAACTGTAAACCAGAAATTTGAACCGACTCTACATTAAATTCTTACCTCAAAAGTTTAATCTGAACCATGGCATTTAATAGGTCACACCCTAACTCCCTCTGGGCTTCAACAACAGCTGCTGTCCACTGATTTTTATTGTTGTCTCATTCCAGGTCTAAGTTGCTCTTAAACTCAACCGTAATGCGTAAGGTGTAATGCATAATCTATTTGTAAGCAGAAGGAAGAAAAAATAAAAAGTGACATCTGTGGAGCTTTTGACACAAGTCACCAAACCCTGACTGGAGAAGTAATGCTAATAATGTACTGCATCGATGTAATAGTAGTATCACTGATCAATTTGGTTTCAATCAGCGCAGTTGCTGCAGTGCTTTTCTTTAAAAACAGCAATATGTGCGTACAATCTGTGTCAAAAATAGAGCAGAGCGTCCAACTTCCAACAAATTTACTACTTTGGATGAAGCAGCATTGCAGATGAATTCAATACAGTATAGCACATTAGCAGATGAGAGTGAGGTGGAGTGAGGTTGACTCTGGTCATTAATGATGTCAGCAAGAAGCTTTTTCCTAAATGGGGAATTACTACTAATCATTAGGATTAAGGAAAAATGTCTGACATTGAACCAAGCAGTAGGAAACCACAAACAGGTAACTATGTGTGAAAGCCCACACTGATACTGCTTTTGCAGCAGGAAAACACCTAAAAACATACAAGTCTCATTCCTTAACACATCAACATCGGCAGCCCGGAATTCCACGCTCCATTCATTGAAACCACATACATGATCGTTCAAACTCATGGCGTTCGCAGAATTTGCAGGCAGCTCAAGCTTTCACACACAGCCATGTGAAAGTTGCTGGCTTTTTTTTTTTAAACCAATCAGATATCAGGAACAGGAGTGGATTCAGTGGCAGCAGCCCCCACAGTGTCCACCCCCATGGGTGTGTCCAGCAGAGGCCTCTCCGTGTTTTGTCCGCCGGCTCAGGATTTCATAGGAGCAGTCGTCACCACAGCATCCAGACATGCTGGGTGAAGTTTCATCAATCTCAAATCTGAAAGTGAGTAGAGGAGAGTTTACACTGGGTGAAGTTTCATCAATCTCAAATCTAAAAGTGAGTAGAGGAGAGTTTACACTTAGGGTTTTTGTCATCTCAATCTATTGGCTTAGGTGAACCAATAGAATGCAATGTCAACACAAATAAATAAAAACAAGAACAAAGACAACAACAAATATTTAATACGTTTGTTTACACAGAGCATTGGTACTCACTGTAGAGCATCTCTGAAGAACTGGTAAGCTCCATGATTGTGTTTGAAAACTGTCAGCATCACCTTTTTCATCTGTGTACTAGGCAGAAAAAACAGGATACGAAATTCTTCCTTAAATGGATCTTTTGAAGTCTGTTTTTTTAAATAAATAAATATGGACAATTTGTTTCATTTTTTTCTTAAAAGTGCCCAATTATCTTACAAATAGCAGATGTTTCCTTCTGTTCAAAATACCTACAAAATTAATATTACGTACATCAAATAAAAATCTTTTTAGTTTTCCAGCAGTTTGTCAAGGTCTTAACATTAAACTCCCTCTGCTGCCAGCATAGGATCAGGGCTTTCTACCTGTTTGCGATGAGCTGCAGTATCTGGATGAGGAACTTTCCGAGTCCTTTCCTCCGCACTTTACTCTCCAGCTGCACTTCATAGCTGATGAATAAGACAGAAATGTTGAAATAAAAGACAAAAAAAAAAAGACAAAAGAAAGATTGTTTGTACCCAAGCAGCCCTACCAATATAGAACCTCTTCTCCACATTCCACATCGAATCGGAAGTGAGAGAAGGCCACTGGAGAGGAATCAGCATCACGGGCCAGCAGGTACCACGCTCGCTCATCGTTCATCTCCTCTCTCTTTTCCCTCTCCTTCCAGCCCCACTCACTCTGCTCATACCTGTCACATTAAAGGAAATGATTTACCATGTGTATGTTTGAGTCCTCATTATGGGTTTCAACTATTTGACTGTGGCCAATTAGAAAGGTGCAAACACCTGTAGTTTCCATTTGTTTGGACCAAAGCAGAAAATTCCACATATTTTTCATAACATACTAAAGAATATCAAAGACTTCAATTCAACAGATTTATGTCATCAGTGACTGTGTTTTGGGTTCACAGGTCACGTTTAAGACATTTTTTTAAAGTATATACAAATGATTTCATTTAACCTTTTCAGCAAATACTGACATGGCTGCTTTACCTTTTTTTATTAAAAGAAATGGGATGATGCCTTCACAGCCAAAATTATATTTCTTCACTGGGATAAAATAAACCATTTACACATCTGAGGTGGCCTTATTTAAGGATGTTGAGTACACAAGTTCTTTTCAAATGTTAACATCACAACCTTCAATGCAAAAAAGTCAAAACAATATTTTTCTGCAGATTTGTTCCGTAATTTATCACTATGCTTGCTTCTCATTATCCATTTTCTAACATATATTGTTTTTTTTAAGGTAATATCATGTCATGTCCTTATGACGGTGAGAGACTGTCACATTTCACATCCCAATTAAATGTACTACAATCAGTCCTGCATCTGAACCAGCCTCACCTTTTTTTAAGAAATCATGGTTTCCTTGCCAGCTGCACACAAGATTCGAATGCATTTACATTACATTACATTAGATTCGAATGCATTTACATACATTCTGCACAATTAAGTTGCTATTAAGAAACAGCCTCAGCAAAGTTCATTTGACCTTAACCAAACATCTGAAACTGAAGTTTTGCCTTTTGTGAAAATAAAAGTCAAACTCTTAGAAGTACCAGAGCAGGAGAACTGTTGTCATCTCTCAAATCTGTCTGCATCACTTCTGCTCCTCTTTTCCTCATACCCTCTAACATCTTACACCGTTTAGTGTTTGATGTCACTCTTTAATTCTGTCACGCTCTTGAGAATTTCTGGCTTGTCTGCATTCTTTTCAGTTCCAACCTACAGTGCACACCAACGTACAAGATGTGTTTCCATCCTAAACTGAGAGAAGAGGAACAGGGCAGGTTACTTACAGTGTCTGCATGTTGGCTCTGGTGAGTTCAAATGCCCACTCCACTGACAGCGGGTTGAGGGAGGTCACTCTCTTACACTCTATCTGCAGGTTCAGCCTGTGAGAGAAGATAATGTGGCCCAAAACATCGAAAAGGTGTCTTTGAAAACGTGTCTCTGTTTGATGCAGGGAATGAAATGTCCATTTTTTTTACAAAATCCCAAATGTGACCTTAGAGAGAACTCAAAATGACACATACCCATTTCTGTCGTATTTTTTGAAAGCTGGGAAAGTATTCAGTGGATCATCAAGCTGTAAGAAGAACATAAACACAAAATGTCTATTTGCGTCACCACATTTACACATCGAACAATATTTTGTGCAAAAAGACAGTTTTAGTTCTAGAAGTAATTCTAAGTTAATTACAACATTCCTTCATTTAAAATACAGACTTTTTATTCGCTCAGTAAAACTGACTCCAATCTAAATATCTGATACAGGAAGCAAACAACCAGACAGTTTTCTAATTAGATTAGTCCTTTAGGAAAAGTAAACGTGCTCCAAGTCATGATTATGAAACTGTAAATAATTCTGCACATGCCCCGCATCCTTATAATACATAATGAACTCCAGCATTTTTAAAGTCTGATACAGATAGCTGCTGGGAAATCAGTTGAGCAGCTGGCAGTTTGTTGAGGACCAGTAACAGAAGTAAAACTATGCGTACGGAGTTGGCGTCACATTTAAAAATAAAGTGATAAGGACATCCCTGCTGTTAAAGCTCATCCAACTCTGATCACAAAAGCCTTCAACACTTTAAAGAGTGGCTACTGCAGAGGGTTTGACCTCTGGATCTGTGCTGTGTCGTCCTGTTCACTGACGCAGTCATAACTGTGTTCTACTTAAAGACCCAGTGAGAACCAGAATCTAAGCTGCATGATTTATGGTTAAAAAAAAACAAAAAAAACACCAGATGCCCCGTTTGTTCTATTAAATCAACAGCATCACAAACTACAGCTTTAAAAACCACAATCCATGTTGGCCCATTAGGAAGGTGGGAGGAGACAGAACAGCGTGAAATAGCAACTGTTCCATTTCGAGGCAAAGTGACACAGAAACACTTTGGGTCCATGCAGGACTGTTGCTGAAGAGTTGCTGAGGACGTAGATAAAAACCAAAAGCTTACTCCTTATTGGCCGCTACTGTGTGCTCTGTATTCCATGTATTTAACTATTTTAATCAAATATACATAAGTAACCAGATGGCTGTGTTTTCCCTTGCCCTGAATGTTATTAAGTGTTGCATGCTATTAAATTGGACTAATGTCAAATGAAATGAACAATGTGAACAAAGGTCTCTGGTCCACTGTCTCCATGTTGACCCAAAATCTCTCCTTATTTACCTTATTGGCTGCATCCACTTTAGCACAGACAGCGTCCATCGCTGCCCTCTCCTCCAGACGCCTCGCTTTCTTCTCCTTTGCTCTGTTGGACTTCCTCTGGGAACAGGAAATTAGAGAGTTGGCAAAGCAAAAATAATCTCGTACTTTATAGATCTCTCAAAATAACTACACATTGTCCAGGGTAACTAGGACCACCATGGGTAAACAAAACATAAAATCTGCATACACAACCCAACCCAGGACCTGTGCCGAGGTTAGTCATTTTACGGTGAGATTTTAGGTACCATTTATTCATAGCTGTTTAGTGCAGTTTACAGTGGGATCCAATGGCTAAGAATTTTTAATTTTATATGTTTAATCATATTTATCCCTCTGTGGCCGTATGGGTGTTGATATAGAAGTCAAAAGATAAATGTCACAGCTTGTCTTTGACTGTGCTTTTAACTCTAAACATAAACAGCCAGTGATTTGCTCTTTCCATGTATGCAGTCGTTATTTTACCACAGTGCTATTAATTAGACAGAGATGCAAGTCAAACAACAACAACACTGCAGAGCACAGTCAGGACATGTACAGTCAAAAAGCACTAATGCAAGACTATGCAACAGCCAGATTTGGAGAAAAATGCATCTCTTCAGAAATTTGTGTCAATAAAAATCGTGGTTGTATATACCTGTGTCAACAGCAATGAGATTTTAATCTGGCCTGCTCCTGGCTTCATGTCCAATGCTGCTTTCATCGATGCTTCAACTATAACTCACAGAAAATACTCAGACTGCAGCTACACTTTGTAGCAGACAGGGAGCCTGCTAACAACTGCTACAAGTACATTCATTTCTACCAGTAAAAAAAAAAAAAAAATGATTACCCTTTTCTCAATACCAACACTAATTTTGAAAGACATTACTGGATTCGATAAAAACATTAAAATAAAAGGTTTCACTAGCTTCATCATTGGCCAATTTTTTAACTTATTTGGGATTTTTTTTTGCAAATCTATCATTTGGAAATTCCAGCTATTTTACAGGAAGGTTTGCTTTTTTATGGCTGTTTGTGTGCTACCTTTTTTTATCGTGTTTTTAATGACCTGTAACTTTTTTTTTTTAAATATTCAGCTCACTTTAGTAATGAAGTTATCATTTTTTGTTTACTTTAACATTCTTTCTTCAATGTACTCTTTTATATCCAAGTTTTCTGGCTAGTATTCAACTGTGTAGGTGCAAAATGGGGAAAAAAAGAAAGATAATATTTTTGTTGACCGTCAGGTCAAAGTCACTCACAGTCAGACACACATACACACGTGTGTGAAAAAAAAGTAGTTTGCAAATGTCTGTCCAGAATATAAATTAGACATATAGAAGCTTGTCTTGAAAATAAATGCAATTGCAATATTTAACTGTTTTTTAAATATTTCAAATATGAATCTTCAGTAGTAATAGTAGTACCCTGTATTTGTTGGGAGTATATTGCATTTTTAGTGTAGTTGATTGCAGCAAACAACAAACATATCCAATCGATTTTAATTTCAGTTATAGTTTAATGTTCTATTCTCTGTTGTGCTCCTTTGTTCCGTAAAAACCTTGCAGTTGTACAGCGGCTAGGCAAACCTTCTGACCTCTCTGCTGTCCTACAAGGTAGAACAGGTCTAGGTCTCCCATAAACCTTTTTATTGCACTTTGATTTTATAAGTTCCACTATTCACTAGTGTTACAGTCGTTTCTTGACACATCTTAATAACTTTCTTTTTTTAATGTTTCCACCGATTTCCTCCACATCTTTTAAATACCACCAACATGACTTCTTGAGACATTCTTGTCCTGTGGCCATCATCCATTCATTATCTAAATTGTAAATAAATATTATTTTGTTTTGGTACAGTCCTTAACAATGAAACTGAAAACTGCCCAATGTATAGGCTGAGCTTGTTTTTTATTACTGCCATATATGTGAGGGACCATCCATACTTTTGACTCCATTAAATTTATCATACATAATTACATTGACCTATAGATTGGGCCACAAAGCACTGCTTCTGACCTTGCTTTTTTGATGTTTGAAATAATTATGTTTCTACATGTAAATTGAAATAACATCAGCTCTCCAAATAAATCTAGTCTGTTTAAAAATGCTGTGTTATAAAGTCTTTGTTCTGTAAAAATGCACTTGGGAAATAGCTAAAATAGAACTACCTTTTCCTCAGGGGTTTGGTAATTTTGAGGTTCCAGACTGAGGAGAGAAGCACGTGGATTGGTTTATCACTAGTGAAAGTGAGGTATTAGGGTCAGGGACTGTCTACTGACTCCGAGTAAAGCTCGGTTTGGCGGATTAATGAGCGAGAACATGGTGACCAGGTGGACTGAAACAGCATGCCCTAATGTACTGTATATGGACACACATATACACTTCAGTCATTAGCATTAACAGCTAGCCGAGCACTCGTCATTAGAATGGCATTCCACAGCAGCAGAGGCAGCAGCTAACGCTGTTAGCACGCTAATAATGTTATACACGGCCACACATACGTAGGCAGTGGAAATATAAGTGTAAAGCCGTTCAGACAATGTCTTAATAACGTTGTAAATGATTGTTTCTGCGTGCTGGAAGCTAACGTACGCTAACCAGGCTACAGCGGCTAAACATCCATCCATCATGGTCTCTCCACTTCTTTCTTCCTTTCTCCCATCACACTAATACACACTCACTATGTTTAAAACAATTACATCTCTAAATGTACCATAGTATCATAAAAGAGTCAAAACTCACCCCCATTGTGCCGCTGTCTTGTGTGGCTGCCTCAGGAGAAACACGCCTCTATTGTCCCCGCGCTGCTCCTCTACCGCCGCTGCTGAGTTATTGGTACCGTGACCGCAGACACAGCAGAAGGGGCCACATTAATATGACAATTATAGATAATGTACTGACGAGGCGGACGGGCTAAAGCACCGACCACTGACTGTATCAGTAGCAGCGGCGAAAAGCGTAGAGCTGGTCACAGGAACTATCCACCGGTTCGTGTTTTTTTTTTTTAGTACTGCCTGATTGGCGCCAAGATTGATCTCAGGTCTCCCTTTTCTCTAGTCTGCCTTTTTCTTTCTTTCCTCCGCTCTCTCCTCAGCCTCCGACTGTGCTGCGTTCACGGGTTCCATTCTGAGCTCAGATCAGAGAGTCTCAAAAAAGTGTCGAAAAATGTGAAAAGGAGGGAAGAGGGTAGTAAAATGTGTTTCGTTTAGGCCTGGTAAACTAATAAATGTTTAATCCGACAAATTACTGAGTAGAAGTGGGTCAAACAGGAAGGATCTAGAAAAAACAACATTCCTAAATATAACTAAAACTTTTCATTTTTATTCCTGCGACACGACAAAATATAAACGTATATTCTTTTTATCTTTTTAAACAAAATGTACACAATAAGAGACATCAATGCATGATATGTATGAAAATGTACAGCTCGGGCACGTGTTTTTAAAATTTTGGCCATTTGAACATTTGACTCAGAAAAGAACCACATACTGTCCTAACTAATCTGACACGCACTGATCTTTAGGGAAATTGTGTTCTTCCGCTATAATTCTGACTTGCGTTACTTAATACTTCGCCATGTGTTGCCCATCTCTAGAAAAATTATTACTGGCAGCGGTGGGATTCGAACCCACGCCTCCGAAGAGACTGGAGCCTTAATCCAGCGCCTTAGACCGCTCGGCCACGCTACCATATGATGGATACATGGAGATATTAGAATAACATGTGGGTACATATTCCTTTAACTTTACAGTCTATGCGGAAGTATAAATTACAAGTATTTACCTTTTTGGACCGGATTGAATAAAAACCATAAGCAGCTGAAGAAAAATATGTGTCAACTCACATATCGTGCATCCTTGTTGTGGTCATGCGTCTGTTGCAGCACAACATACATTATACATTGTATAATGTATATTATACATGTACACACAGTACATTCTCAACAGTTGTTGTGGTTGTTGTGTCAGTATGGCCTCACCCCCAGGATCAGTGTGGCTGCTACAGTCACTGATGCAGGGCTCTGCTATAGGCATACGTACTAAGTGTAGTTGGCTGCAGCCAGGGTTCAGTGAGAATGCCAAGTTGGTGTGGCCCCTATAGTTGAAAGGTGTAATAAGTCCATGTGGTCCCTTCGGTGGTTGGTGGTCTGTGGTTGGTGCATCATTGCAGTGGGTGCAGACAATTTCTGCCTCTTTATTGGATATGGTAGTTTAGATCAGCACGGTCAGTGTGGGTGCTGCAGTCCATTTTGTTGTAGTAGATATTATTAACATGAATGACTATCTTGTCCAAAAGCTTAATAATAATGTTTAATTAAAAAAGTAATTCGTTGGGCTTCAAGCCTTGTGATTGGCCCTATAATGTAAAAATTGCTTGTCAAAGCTGAATTATATCTGAACCAACAGTCAAGCACCAACTGCTCTTTTAGAAAATATGTCAGACTTTCCTATGACACATGGACAAGTTTTATTTCAAGTTTAATGTCCATTCAGTCCCCAACAAGCCTTGGCCAAAATAGGACGACACTAGTTATTTGAACTAGTTGTTATAACTGCAAAACTGTAGGTTGTAAATTCAGACGTAGTAAGAAATAGTCGCCACTAGATGGCAATATTAGGTTACAATGATATGTTGCCATGGTCTACCAACCCAAAAATTAGATAGTTGAACCTTTCAGGTACTCTTTAGAAATACTAAACATTTTCTGGCCAGCTTTTTTGTTTCTTATATATGGTTATAGCGGAGATTTCGAAGGTTTACGTACTAAAAGCATCAATCTAGATTGTTATATTATAAATGAAGGAGTGTCACACAGAGTTACATTCACATGGTTATTCTTATTGTTGCCATCAAAGGTAGTGTGTTAACATTAATTCAAGAGATTTTTGTTTGATGACATAGAGCACGTATGTTCACAATGGAACAATACATAAAAAGATAACTGATAAGTTCTTGATATGAAGGGATGCTAAGATTTCCCCTCCACACACACACACACACACACACACCCAACCACTTTTTCATAATGCAAATAAAGGCCCGTATAGGGGGGCCTTTCTCTATCTCTCACATACACACAGAGCAGCACGCAGATGGCCCAGTCGCTAAACCCCGCCTCCAGTCTATTGTCTTCAGGGAATCTGTCTCTGGCTGTCAGAAGATATGTCACATATCGGTAGGGGGCGCGGCAAGGGACACAGCGTTGAAGCAGGGGCCTGATTCCCATTGTACTAGTTTCTCTGTGACTCTGTGACTGTTTTTGCATACAGCTGAGACACACAGGCTCAAACATTTTGAGTGAAGAGTTTTCAGACAGAGATGTGAATCTCTCTGTCCCTCATTTTACATAATTTCTTTCTCTGACTGGAAACATGAAAGTGTGTTACACTGCTCAGTGCTGTCTATCCTTTGTGTGTGTTCGCTTGCTAGGCTGCATAATGAAGCTGATCTTCCTCTCTTTCATCTACTCACACACACAGACACACACAGAGACACACACGTGCGCATACAAAGTACTCTATAATCTCTTGATTATGCTTAGCAATGATGGATGGACAGACAGACAGACAGACAGACAGATGACAGATAGATAGATAGATGACGCAGACAGACAGACAGACAGACAGACAGACAGACAGACAGACAGACAGACAGACAGACAGACAGACAGACAGACAGACAGACAGACAGATAGATAGATAGA